CTGAACATTTTAGCGGGAGCTGAGGTGTATAATTTTGCTACACTTGATTTAACAACAAAATTGCACCATTATGCATTTGTCTCAGAGCCTATGTACCATCTCATGTAAAGGTTGCACTGGCAATGAACTATAGTGAATTAATTTTCTTATGTACAATCACACAGTGAAGTCCTCACTGCTTCAGGACAGGATTAATTTGCCTACCAGACTTTGGCTTTTTGTTGAGTATGCAGAATTTGCAAGTCTGGACCAAAACCTCCTCCTTTCCTTCTTGATCGTACCTGCTTTGCTTCTCTGACCTGTCAAGGATGCCTTTGCCAGTCCTCCATTTTGTACACAGCACATGAGGATTTTATTACACTCATCCTGTGTAGGCTTTTTTCAAACCCCACTAACTTCTGAAATGCTTCACAAAACCAACTGCATGACCAGACTTCACTATGCCTATTGTACAGCATTTCAGCACAGCTGGAGGGAGTAGTCTGAAGGTATTTTTATACCCATGTCAAAGGACTGTTGGAGTCTTTGTCTCTGTATTGAGATGAATGTGCAGTGCACTTACACCGCTCTTAGTTACAGCAGTCTAAAGCCAGCCCAAGTAAGTGGTGTTACTCCCATTTGCGCTCCTGTCACTGCTTTCTGGCCAAGGCAGGGGTGGATTTCAAATTCTTGGGGCCCTAGGCCCAAAGATCATGGGGCTAGCACGCTAGTGAGCAGCTGGCATCCCCCTAAAGCAAGTGCCAGACAGCTGCTGCAGATGTGGCTCACGCCCCAGATAAGGTGAGGCAGGGTTGGAAAATCTAATGTCCCTTTTCCGGATGCTTTCACTCATGCTGCAGGGAGGGGTGTGGAGCCGCTGGTCCCATCAGGGGGTCAGGAAGCTGCACCCAGGAAATAAAATGAAAGCATCAGGCCCCGCTTGGAGGGCAAGGCAGAGGCAAGCGTTGCACCTGCTCTGATGATTAATCTGGGTAGTGCCAAGGCCAAGGCACAGCATGCGCTGTACTTGCAAAGGGCAGTGATTCTGCTTCTTTAGGCAGCTCCTTTCATGTGCTACCACAGGCAAGGGCCTGGGAGTGCATTCCCCGTCGGGTGTCCCTAGGTGCAGGCCAAAGGCTGTCCCACCCCAGAAGCTTCCTTCTGCTTGGAGCAGTACCGGGGATGCTCAGCTCATGGGAGGTGTCGTGAGAGTGACTCTTCCAGGCAGAACGAAGCCTGTTTCTTCAGGAAGGCAACCCCCAGCTCCCAGTCGGAGATGGGTGAATCAGCTGGAAGTGCTGGCATCTTTTAAACTACTCCAGGCTTTATTGCAGTGTGACTCAATTCAGAGAAGAAAGAAATTTTTCCCTCCCTGCTCTTGTGCTCTCCTTGGCTCCCTACCTGGATGCTAATAATGTGGAGGAAAGAAGAAGGCTGAGGAAGATCTCCCAAGGCTGGGAAGCGGCAGGAAAATCCTGGGCTCACTGAACTCCTGCTGCCGCCGGTGAGACCAGAACATCATGGCCAAGCTTTCTGGATGTTAACTGCTGCCCTCATCTCTGCTCTCCCATGCTCAGTGACTCATGGCAGGAGTTTCACACCCGAACAGGGTGACAGCAAAACCCTGCAGTGCTACCATGGTTATTCTGCAAACCCCGTGATGCAGCCAGCAATGAATATGCAAATCCGGAGAAACTAAGAACACAAATCCCTTAATAATACCACCTGAGGATATGCAAAACCTCTTATGGTCTCAGCCGTGTAAATCCCCTGGCACTGGCATCTAAGACGCTGACTTCAACATCTCTTCAACACACTCATTTCCTGAGCATCGAGTCTGATGCTCGTTATCTATCCAATGACAAACATGACTCAAACCTTAAACTAGAACTACCATCCCAATGCAGCAGGAAGCTGCGATAAGAGCTCCAGGAAGCTCAAAATTTCAACTTCAAGGGAAACTCCAGTGTTTAAAAAAAATAACTTTGGTTCTGAATGAAAAATTGAATTTTAAAAATGTTTAGCAAATTAAAAAAAAAGATTTAGAGCAAATGAACCCATTTTGTATCAATTTTTCCAAAACAAAGTCAAGCCACTGACATGTCTCCAGCTGCAGGGCAGGGTGCTTAGATGCTTTGAGACTCTGGTTTAAGCCAGGAACCCCAGGATGCCTGGCTCCAAAGAGCAGTGCTTCCCCAGAGCCACAGACCCTGACAGCAGGAGCTCCTGAAC